AGGAGAACTCAGTGTCTGGGGGAAAATGCTTTTTAATGCACCCCCTTCTTATCTTGAATTTTATACTTGTGCATCAGTTTTTAAAATATTTTAATTAATTCTTTAAAATGAAGTTTTACATAACTTAAAACAATCTGTAGTTGTTAAATGAATTATTTGACAACTAATCTGTGAATATAAAATAAATCTCCTGTATTTGGTATTTCCCTACCAGTCTGATAGGAAAAGTTTAATAACTATCTTTAAGGTAGAAAAATAATTTAGCAAGTAATTGATCTTTACAGTCAAAAATATGCAGAAAAATACTTTCATTATTCTTATTCTTCTGTTTTCCTCCTATGACCTGCTTTATACTCATCTCATTTCTAATTCTGATGGAAGGTGAACAGGCCAATGGATGAAGCTACATTCAGTCTATTTTTTTTTGGTCTTCTCCTTTGTGTGTGAAAATACAACTAACCATCCTTTACTGGCACTAGGCACAGATTGGCAGGATGCTGGAATTGCCTTTACCCATAATACTTCCAGTACGAACAGTAACTGTCACCCACAGTCGAAAGTTGAATCAACTTACTAACATGTTTCTCCATCTCTTCAAACTATTTTGAACATCATGTTCTTTGATAACATCACAGCTAAGTGACCTCCCTTGAGGCCAGCAGGTGTGTCTTGGGCCACGTCCAGGCTTCTAGTGGTTAGTCAGTTCATAGCCCCAGCCAGGACCCCAGGAGAAAAAAAAAAAAAAGAGTTTCCAAAATTAACAAAGACTTTGTGACTCAGAGAGAGTCAGAGACAAGATAAAGAGGACAGGGCTTACTTGCTCACGTCCAATTCCCAGAAGTGCTGCCTTTCACCTCTAGTCAGTGACTTTTAAAAATATTATTCACTTATCTCACACACATACACACAACTCTTCCACTTGAAACGTCTCTTGAATTTCTAGTGACAGAGTTCGGTTCTTCAAGGCATGCCTGGTTTTTAAATTCTTTATTGTCATTCCTGACATCATCACCTAACCCAGCCTCCAATACTGCCAGTGTCTGGTCTATTTTCCCATCAGGACTTTTTTTGGGTACAGGTGGGTGGCAAAAGGTTGTTTGGTTTTGCTTCCTGTTCTGTGTTGGCAGGAATCCTAGAAATTGGGTAAAACCAGGTTAATGGCCTGGGTTTCTTTACTATACCTTTCTCAGTTTCACAGTTTGGCAGGGTTGTGGGGATTCTCTTGGTTTATTTTCCATAAAGAAAAAAAGCAGCAGGAAAAGAAGTTATCTGGGACAAGAAGTTAATTTCCAAGTCTACCAGCAAGGAGTTCCAACAACTTCAATAACCCTTCTCCTCCCATCTCTTTGCTCTCCTTTCTCTTGAGGTGGCTTCTTTCTCAGCTGCAGGTTTGTGTTCTAGCAGCTCACCAACTCTCCCTCAGAGTGTGTTTTTCTGGGTTGTTCCAGGAAAGATTCCTATTTTCCTAGCTTAGGTCACATGTCATCACTGAACCAATCACTGTGAATAAGGCTCTGTGCTTTGATTGGTTAGGCCTAAGTCATGGGTCTATTCCTGAAACCCCAGCAGTGCTGACACTTCTACCTGGATCACAGGGACTGAGATTGTGCAAGGGTGTTTCTCAAAGGAAAATGAAAATATGATTAACAGAAAGGGAAATGGATTCTGCAAGGCTAGGACAAGAGGTCAGGAAAGCCCCAAAGGGGCAATATTTAAAGAGACATTCATTTTCTGGCTCATGTAGAGTTAATTTTGAGAGAAAGCCCCTCCTCAAATTTTGTGTCCTAGGCTCCTCACTCACCCCTCGTCCTGGCCCTGGACGTTGGGCAAGCAAAAGACAAAATAATCATTATACCCATATTCAAAAATATCTTCTAGAGTGCCTGAAATCCCATCATTAAAGATTCATTTGTTTGGGTTAGGCAGGCACATCTCCACAAGTCCCTCAATATTTTTAATTTTTCCATGAACAGCTGGAGGGCAAATCTGTAAATCGGTAAGAGCTTCCGTATACATGTTAATTAGAGACTATCAAGTCAGTCACCTCCATCCAGGCCCAGCATCTGTTGAAAGCCCCACCCACAATAATGTGTGATGCACTGTAAGAAGAGGCCTTGGAGAGGAGTGGCCAAGACTGAGACTATAGAGAAGAGGGTTCCTGCAGGGGAAAAATGGCATAGAAAAGGAGATGCACGATGTTAAAGGCACACTTCTTTTTTAATCTTCACCTGAGAATATTTTTCCACTGAGCTTTAGAGAGTGGATGGAAGGGAGGGAGGAGGAGGCAGGGAGAGAGAGAAAAAATATATATATATGAGAGAGACATATCCACTGGTTGCCTCCCACATGGGCCCCAGTCTGAGATCGAACCTGCAACCCAGGTACATGCCCTTGACCAGGAATCGAACCCATGATCTTTTGGAGCACCAGCCAAAGCTCTAACCACTTGGCAACATTGGCCAGGGCAAAAGCACACTTTTAATCAATTATTTAATAACACTTGATGAACACCGGCTCTAAGCCTACTTTATCAATTTTTCTAAGTTCTGCCATGTGGAGAAATTGAGGTGGCAGGCTGGCAAGTGAGGATATTGCAGGAAAGAGCTAGGGCACAGAAAATGTGGAAATCTCTAAACAGGGATTCTTTGTTGGTATGCAACATCTGGGAAGGCTTATCCAGAGTTCTGATAAGGCTGTAGGGAGAAGTACACATTCTGCCAAGTCAAGTCCTTGGGTATTTGGGTTGCTGGCATCTTTGAAAGCTTAATTTTCCCCTACAGCAAGGGTTTAAGGAAAGACTAGGAGAGTTATGAATTGTTTCTTGTCTTCGACCAAGGGAAAAAAAATCAATCTTCAAGTCACAAAATAAATAAGTCAAATATCTCTTAAGTTTGGTAGTAATAAAGAAAATTTTTCTACCCTTCATATTCCATAACTTACTTAATCTTTCCTTTTTGGGACTCTAGCTACCGTTGGCAAAGAAAAGAGCTTACATAACTGAACCTACCTCATAACAATCAGGTTGTGAAATATTTTGTCCATCTAATAATACTAATAAGTATGTAAAGCAATGATTCTGTTATTAGGTGGAGGTTACATTTGGAAATATGATTGTCCATTAAGTTAACTTATAATGGGTACAAACACAACCCAGAAATCAGAGTGAAACTGGTCCACAGACTCCAGCTGCCTGCTTCTAGTGGTGCATAGATCACCATGATGTGATGCCAGCAATGGGGGAATCTTATAACTCACTCCCCTGTTTAGGAAGCAGCCTTCTGCACAGAATGGCTTCCACAGGATGTGCCTACAAGGAGAGAATATGATGGCTAGACTGTCTGGTGCTGTATTTTCACAGTGACTATTTGTTTATATTCCACTGACAACTAACAACTCAGCATCTTGGCTTTAAGTATCAGGTTCAAAGTGCTGAGAATCTAGATTCTGTGCCCACAAGGCTTAGAGCCAGATGCTAGGCTGGGGGCAGTCACAAAGCTGTGCTGACCAACGTGAGGCCTTTTAGGCCTCACACCAAAGGCCTTATTTCCTAGTTACACACCCTTGTCTCACTTTGTCAGTCTTCAAACTGGGAAAATCGATGCTATAAAAATCAATATATTTTAAAGTTCTTCCTTGCCCAACAAATACAATCAGATGACCTTTTTGCAGGCTATAATGTAATAACTGGCAGTAGATTTGTCAATGAGTGCAATAAATATTGAGTATCGTGCTAGGTGTGGTGAATCCCAAGCTGAAAAGAATAGGGTGTCCACCCTCAGAGCTTACAGTCCAAGAGAGGAAATACATACACAATGACTCATTTTTTAAAAATATATTTTTATTGATTTCATAGAGGAAGGGACAGGGAGAGAAACATCAATGACGAGAGAGAATCATTGACTGGCTGCCTCCTGCACACCCCACACTGGGGATCGAGCCTGCAAGCCGGGTATGTGCCCTGACTGGAAATCAACCACGACTTCCTGGTTCATAGGTCAATGCTCAATCACTGGGCCATGCCAGCTGAGCCACAATAACTCTTTTAAGAGGCATGTGTCCTATTGCTGTATCAGAAGCATAAACTACACTCTATGGAAAAAGAAAAGATTAAATGCAACTAGTGTCTCAGAGAAGACTTGGAATCTGAAGAGCTGACTCCACAAGATACTTGGGAGACTTGCAATCCAGGCAAAGGAAGAGTTGACTCAGAAGTGCTGGGAACAGGCCTCCCATGAGGCTCATCTGGACCTTGGCAAATTTGACATCTGGGTGAGAGACAGATTGGGAGGACCCTGTGTTCTAGACCACAGAGTTTGGGAGCAGAGGGGGGCTTTGCCTCATAGGTTATCATCCTCAGTTAAATCTTAAACTGATAAAGCTGTGACTTTTGAGCTCCTCCTATAGAAGGGCAAATCAATCCCATTATGAAATATAGATTACTGCATATTATGATGCAGTATTTTACAGTTACAGACATATGACAACAATATGGTAACCTCATCATCATCCCTCTCTTTCATTTGGTTTGTTCCTTTCGAACAACATAATCTACATAAATTAAAACCTCAAGGTCATCCAAGCTGAGCCCCATAAGAACCCAGAGCTTCCAGGCAGAGAGAAAACTGTCACCTTTAACAGTGAATTGCGCAAGATGGCAAGAAGAGAAATACCTAGAAGCCTAGACTGGGTGGCGTTTTCTCAGCTACTCCAAGAGGCCCTTACCTAAAGGGGTGCTCCTCAGACTCTCCAGCCTCAATCTGCCTGGAATGCACAGATCCCCAGGACTCTGGGGAAAACCCTTTGAAACTCCACTGGCCACAGATCAGCGGCAACATCTGCCACAAACGCTGCAGTGGCAGAACAGGAAGTTCTGGTCCTTCCAGCCACCCGGGATTCCCAACTTGACTCTTCCAGGAAGCCCTTTCTTCACCCTTTCTCTTGCGAAATCTAGGGTGCCCCCGCCCCTCCCTCCCTTCTCAGCCTTCTTATATGGCCTGGCCCGGGCGGGCGAGAACCCAGAGCTGCAGCCGCGAGCTGGAGTTCTGCACAGCTTCTCCCTCCTTGCCTGGCCAGCTGCGCGCCCAGCTGCCGCCGCCCTTGGCCATAGCAGCTTGGAAGCAACCCTCCCGCAGGTGGGTCACGTTTCTGGCTCTTTGTCTTGTACCTTTCGCCAAAGGGCCCGCCTCCTTTATCTGTTTCAGCTAACCTTGAACCCCTCCTTTCAGGACCCCTCTCCCCACGCTCGGGGGAAAGGAAATAGGTGCTGGCAAACTTCCCAGCGCGACCCTGCATCCCTCCCAGGGAAAGGACAATCTGTTAAGCAATTCAGCAAGCTTCCAGATTCCTGGTCTTTTGTCGCTTATCTCTACACTAGAGAGCAGAGAAGTCCGATTTCAATTCCTCCCCTATCTCACTTCTAGATAAGAGCAATCTGGTGGTGCTGGTCAGAAGGGAGCCTGCAAGAATGTGGTTTTGGCAATCTCTGCCATCTCAGATCTGAGGTCACTTCTTGACCAAGAGCGGAAATTGGTCCTGAGACATGCACCCACTTCCACCTTTGATCGTGATTTAAATTTCCTTCTCTAGTTTAGCGATTGCTTTTCCAGAGAAATATTATTGGAAATGTAACTTATTATGAAGAGTAAACAAAACTGTGGTTCTGTTTGTCCAGAGGCAGCAAGAAAGTAGTTTCTCTCTGGATGGTAATTCGGGAACTTTCTTTAAAAGATGACTGGTCTAGTGGAAAGGGAATTGGATGGAGAATTGGGAAGCAGGTTGGAGAATTTCTGTTCCTTGTTCTAACTAGAAACTCAACACCTCAGCCTCGGTGTTCACATATGCAAAGTAGAAGCCTATGGGACCAGATGATCCACTAAACCCAGCTCTAACAAGGTGAAAATGCACAACTAAAGATGCTTGCGGGTTGGAAATTTTTTGACCACCTTGTTAGTGTTATAGGTATGACCAAGTCGTTACTCTCTTCATCAGAAGGCAGGTTTCATTTTTAACAGGGGAAACTACCCAATTATGGAGACAGTCTCTTCCCCTACAAGTTGCTTAGACTTCTACCACATTTATCATTCAGCGGGTACCCTCAGCTTTCAAAACCATTCTTCACCCTGCTATGTGAGAATGTCCTAGTCCCTGGAAATGGCAGTCTCATAAATGTCACTCACATGAAAGAACATTTTTTTCTGATACAGTAGGGGTAATTTTATAAAATGGCACATTTATTTGAAGTAGTAACTTCTTTGAGATATGGCCTTTTGCAAAGGCCCAAGTTCTTCAGAATGTTGTGATTTAGCACGGTATTATTTTGCCTGCATGGCAAACACTGCCAACCCATAAAACAGGACGGCACTCCGTATGTGTCAAGCTGCGAGGTTTTAAAGTAAATGGTACATGTGTAGAGAGAAATTGGGGAACAGCAGTTTCTTCATTTGGCATCAGTTATGGTTCTGCTGAATGATATTCAGCAGATATTGCCCCTACTGTATCAGAAAAAACTGTTCTTTCATGTGAGTGACATTTATGAGACTGCCATTTCCAGGGACTAGGACATTCTCACATAGCAGGGTGAAGAATGGTTTTGAAAGCTGAGGGTACCCGCTGAATGATAAATGTGGTAGAAGTCTAAGCAACTTGTAGGGGAAGAGACTGTCTCCATAATTGGGTAGTTTCCCCTGTTAAAAATGAAACCTGCCTTCTGATGAAGAGAGTAACGACTTGGTCATACCTATAACATTAACAAGGTGGTCAAAAAATGGTACATGTGTAGAGAGAAATTGGGGAACAGCACTTTCTTCACTTGGCATCGGTTATGGTTCTGCTGAATGTTATTCACACGGCAATTCGAGGTTCAGAAACCAGCATAGACAAGGCCTGACCCCTGGCTTGAGGACAATCTCCAGGCTTCTTTTGTCAGCTTGCTAACTGTTGTTAGAAGTAACCAAATAACATTTTTATGAGCCTGTTTGTGAATAAGTGGAAAACCCTGGGCCTTGAGCCTTGTTGTGAAGAGTTTTAAGATAAAGGGATTCATTTGTCATAGATTTCAAACTGGAAGAGAAACCCTGAGCAGTCACTACATTTCCCTGCCTCCTGAAGAACCACCCTTGTAACGCTCTACCATGATTAATGCCAGTATTAAAAGGATACAGATTCTCCTTTTAAAGTATCCCCAGTAGCTAGCACTGCAGTCATCTTCAGCTACACAGTTCAATATTTCATGACCCTCACCACCTAGTTCTCCTTAGATGAAATTTGAGTCTTTTGTCAACTGCTATTAAAAAATCATTTCCTTTTAGAATCTTAAGACTAATAAGCTAGTGGCACACACACATACACACACACACACACACACACACACACACACACACAAATACAATCACCCTTCAACCTTGAAGGCTTGCTAGGGCACCTTGTAGCTCGTTTCTTCTGGGTTGTCCTCTGAGGAGGAGGTGGTTTGTTAAGTGTCTGTATCCACACTTACCTTTAATTCTGACTGTAAAACTCTAGGATAATAAGGCTTTCTGGGTGGGAATTTTTTTTTCTTGAAATTATAGTTAGGCCAGAGATAGTAAAAATAAAATTTACAAACTCAAGACATCCAAAGCCACCTGTTTGACTGTTCTTTGTACATCCAAAGAGAATGGGTCATTAGTTAATTATGAAGACTTCCTGAGCAGTTCCATGTGATGTGTTAAACATACTCAAAATATTTTGAGTGACATGTAGGTCATTTCCAAAGTGATTTGAATTTAGAGTTGTTATTTATTTTATTTTGAGAAGAAGTCAGTCCTGGAAGGAATAAAGCTAAGTAAATAACTAATAAAGGATAACTAATGCTTAAAATAATGCATGATAAGAAAACATACTTGGCCTATATATATAAACAATTTGTTCTTCCAAATCATTACGAAAAAAAGAACAAAGAATGTTTGCACCATTTGAAAATCACATTTACAAACATATCACTGCAGAAAGATGCAACAGTTTACTAAAAGAAGTATTTCAACTCTAACAAGGCAGGGCATTGACATCCTAATCTAAATGCTTCTCCACAAAGTTCCAGAAGAGTTTATTCAACCCTGTGTGGAGTGGTCTTGCCATTTGTACTTTGACATTCAAGAATTTCTGAAAATTTTGAAGAGAAATATGTGTATTTCAAATGTAGAGGGCATGCTCAATCCTAATGTCAGGATGAAATAAAGTTCACGGGTTTGAAAAGTTAGGAACTACCATTCTGATTTAATAGGACTGCATAGCACACCTCTTAGAGGGTTATTAGAACACAGGCTGGATAGTCTCTTCTGCCTCAGCTCCAAAGATTTTAGGGGCTCCAATCCTGAGGAGCACAGGATAGGAGGGGGCAATTAGCTGTTGACAATAATTAGGCATGTCTTATCTATACCTGCTCATTTCACAGGGTGTGGAAACAGCTTTGAGCCAAGTTAAACAGGGGCTGAAGTCACTTTGCACAGACGTTGGCAAACTTTCTTGCCCCAGGCAGATTAGTGCCCCTTCTCTCGGATCCATGCTGCACCTTCCCCTGCTCAGGGCCTCACACACTATATTGTCACGATTTGACTATGTTGCCACATCCTCCCCAAGACTGGAGCCCCTTGAGGACCAAGAGGGTCTCATTGATCACTTCATCCCTGACACCGCACAGTGCCTGGCACAGAGAGGCTGTTCAATTAATCTGTCGAAAACATGAAATCCTACTAAGATATTACTGGTAACACTAATTTTTAGGTTGGGAAGATGCTGATTGTTACGGGCATAGTAGTTTATGAGCATGGCTGTCCCCTGTACTGGACCAGTTAATACAGTCAAGTGCCCAGATATCTACTACCTGCCTTTTGGGAGAAGCGTGGGATTTCTTTGCACTGTGCAGTACATATAAAGTAAATAGTGAAAATTATTATAACTTTTTTTTTAAAAAAAGGAGAAAGACATTGCAGGAACCTTAGTGTTTCTTCTACTTAACCTTAATTTTATTAACCCTAATATGCTGCTATACTGGGTAAGTTTCATAATAAATTTGTAACTATGATACTTTGGAGTCTACTTCATTTTAAAGAGTAATTCATTTTCAAGCGTGACATAATACAATTAAGGCATTTAATTGAGGTCATAAAAATTGGAATATTGCATTTCTAAAGATTTTAATTTGTTTAGCTTAAGTAAAACATTTTAGTTCTTCTGTAATACCTCAAGGCATGTCATAAGCTATAAAGCCTATTGAACAGTTCAAAAGAACTAAGTAATGTCGAATCATTTTTATAAAAAAATTATTACGCTTCTAGTTATTTCTTCTCCAGTGCTAAAGTATTTTAGTACCCAAGTAGTAAAATGATTTTTTTCATCCAATTCAATTGCCCTGATATAGGTGGTATGGGACATGGAAGGAGGTCAAGGAGAGAGCAATTAGGAGGTTGGTAAATGGTTCATTGTGGTTAATAATGAAATTGTGCCACTAGTTGGTTATCCTAGACTGAAATCCCAAATTGTGAAGGTTTTTTCTTCTTTCTTTCCTTTTTTTTTTTCTGAGGCATGTGTGGCAAATTGTTGGAAGATATGTGTTTGGGGATGTGAGTATATACAAAAAGGTCCCCGTAAGTATCTCCCTGAGAAAACCAAGAGTCCAGCAGTGGTATCAGATTTACAGTCCCCAATAGTGTTAGCTACATGTATGGGGTGGAACAAACCTGGGAACCTTTGTTGGATTCTGTTTTGATTAAGAATCTAGGAGTCTTCTGAGACGGGAGGCCCCTAAGGAAAGAGATTTAGGCCTAATGCGCAGAGTCAGGATTGGAAAAATGAATCATCCTGTCAGCCCAATTTTTCCCATTTCCTTAGTCACATGCCCAAATCTTGGGAAGAAAGGGATGAGAGAGAGAGAGAGAGAGAGAGAGACTGACTCTGTGGCGTGCTGGAAAACATCTCTCTAAGGGCGGGGGGGAGTCTTGATGTGTAGCCTTTGCTGATTTCCCTGGTGTGAAAACTCACCTCGTGTTTGATTGCAAGCTTTCAACCACACCACTGAAAAGAGCCGAGATTTACAACCCAGGAATTAAAAGTTGTTTTCTTAAAAAATATTTCTCAACCAGCACAGCACTCGGGCTTG